AAAAAAAAAAAAAAAAAAAAAAAAAAGATGTATTTACTCTACCTTAAACAATATTGTAATATGTATAATTTTCATGTTTTTATGTACCAGTTAAATGACTTTAGGGACTGGGACTGTAGCTAAGGGATAGAGCATTTAGGTTTTATCCCTAGTATCACAAAAATAAACTGATTTAAATTTTCTAAAAATCTGTATCTCAGATGTTTATTTTAATTAAACTCATCACAATGCATAATAGTGCATTATCCTTTGCACTGTAAAGAAAATGGCTCAGGAAGACTGAATCTGCTACATGCAAAATAAAAGCTCTATAGTAATACATCAATTTTTCAAAATAACATATGTACAAAAGGCAGGGTTGGGTCTTACCAGAATGTAACCAGGAAAAAAAAAAAAAAGTCAACTCTGATCAAAAAACAACATAATCAGCCAGGCGTGGTGGAGCACGCCTGTAATCCCAGCACTTGGGAGGCTGAGGCAGGGGGATTGCTGTGAGTTCAAGACCAGCCTGGGCTACATAGTGAGTTCTAGGTCAATCTCATAGTGAGACCCTGTCTCAAAAAAACAAACAAACAAAAAAACCAACCACAACAAAATCAAAGCTTATGTTTTTAATAACTTACATTTACAAAAAGGACTCATGACAACTGTGGCGACAGAGTAAGAACTAGGAATTGATTAACATGATAAAGATCACACAAATAGAAAATACTGCAGGCAAGAACCGAATTAAATTTACCTAACTCCAACTTCAGTGCTCAGTTACTGAATCCACAGCCAAATGGAGAAAATGCACTTTTTGCAGCAGCTGAAATCTTTGGAGATTCTGCCTAGGAAACTAGTATCATGGGAATTTGTTCAGCCTGATTTTATAGAGGATGCCTGCCTGATCTATAGAGCTCCAATTCTAAAATGGCTCCAACATAACACAAGCACTGCCTGATGGGAAATGTACGGAAGATTATAGGGTAGGGGCCATACCCAGGGGCTGACAGTACAGAGATTCTTGGAACAGAAGAAAGAGAATATTCAATGTGAAGCTAGGTGTGTGGTTTAGACCAAATCACCTGATTTCTCATAAAGACTTCATCTGTAAGATGGGTAAATGATTTCTTACCTCAGGAAGAGGCTAGGAAAATAATTCAGCGACTGCTGCTGGATTTTTAGTCTTCCATTTTGAAGGCCTTGTTTAAGGTTTTAACTTGAGTCCAGTAAAATTAATACATAGCACACTGTATGCTGCTAAAGGTATGAATCCAAGAAAAATGAGGGCTAAAACTGGGTTAAGAAATGGTTTCACTGAAGGCAGTCAAAAAGAAATTCACTAATGAACCAAGTATATTTATACATACAGTATAAATTCCCAACAGGAAAATGCAAAAAGCTGAGTAACCATGTGTTCCATTCTAAGTTGCACGTGTGTGGTTTCATGTTGAACAATTAAGATAATGCAAAGTGTAGACAATTTTCATATTCTTGCAAGTTTCACCTTTCTCTTTTGGCTCTTGTGGCCTGCTGATTTTGTATATTCCTAACATCATCTGCTAAATTCCATCTCCCACACAGGGCAAGTAAAATCTGAGCCTGATGCTATTCTAGCCTTACCATACAAAAACTGCACGGAAGGCAAGGAAGAGAGACACATGCATTTTCACAGAAAGGCTGGCAAACTGTCTTACCAATACTGCCACCTTTGAAAATCCCATTACACGCAAGTTCTCCATTTGCAATAGACAAAAATGTACCTTCCCCACCACCAGAGAGGCTACCAAGCAAATTTCAGACCGTAAAACGTGTCTATAGGAAAATTTTGGATGAGGACACAAAAGGTTTGGCAAATACCATAGAAAGATATTGCAGTTTTTAGCCTCTGGTATTTTTTCCCCTCGGGATCCAGCCTGACTCAGTAACCGGTTCCAACAAATTCATCTCTTGATTCAAACCTCAACTCTGCCGTTCCCAGGGAATCTAGAGTCCTAGCAGGCTCCAAACCAGTGAAGGGTGTTGAAATGGCTTTACTGCAAAGCGGGAGGGGGGACTCCCCACGGCTGTCTCCCAAGGTTAAACTCCTTACTGATCCAGGGAGAGTTAAACAGGGGCATCCGTGCTCCAGAACTCACGCGCCTTTAATTATACTTCAATTTCTGGAAGCCAGAAGGCAAAGAGCAGAGGTGACAAGGCTTGAAGGGCCGGTTCTCGCCCACTAGGGCGCAGGGAGGGGTCTCGCAGGAGCGGAAACCAAGGAGTGAAGGGAGTGTCCCGGGTCCACCGCCCGCTGGTCCCCCTCAGCGCAGTTCAAGGCGGCACCCCGCCCGCCGGGCAGCGCCGCAGTCAGCCAGGGAGGCCCGGGCTTCCTAGAGGCGGAGGGCCCGGCCCCGGA